GCGGTGAGCATCTGCGCCACCAGGGGGCGCTGTGGGACAGTGTTTCCAGCCTCTGCCCCTGCCAAGAGAGTCCCTGGGGCAGGGACCCCTAGACAGTGCCAAGTTCCAAGACATGTCAAGAGCCACATCTCCCTGCTTATAGCCGCCATAAATAACACAGCAGTCATATAAATCTTCCTATTAACTGAGAGGGCGGACACATGCCGTAGGTCACAAAGCAAGTCCTACCCCCTGACCAGCCGACACCGCACTTCCTCCCAGCCCAAAGTGCCCCTGGGTGGGGATCTTTTATTTTTAACCTGGTCAGTGGACATGGCCTTTTTATAGCCCTGGGAGGCGCACAGGGTTTCCAATTTCCAAGGGAAGTTAAACAAACAAACAAACAAACAAACAGTTTTCTTCCCAAGAAAAGAAGCTGCCTGAGACGTCTGGGAGTAGGGGGGTGGGGGTGGAGGGAGGCCTGGCCCAATCTTCTCTATTCCCCAAGGCTCACCTGGGGTCCCTCAGACCCTTCACCGGGCTCTGTGCCCGTCCCCATCCTGTAAACCCTGTCCCTCTTCTCTGATGGCACCTGGGCACTGGAGGCCGGCAGGCTGAGGGCGGCGTGGTGTGCCAGGCCCTGTCCTTTGCTGGGTCTCAGAATCCCCTTTTGGCGCTGGGGGTTGTGATGCTCTCTGGCCTCCTCCCACCAATTCTGAAACTTTGCTTACCTGGCTGCCGTCCTCGTGATCTTTGTCGGCCATCTGTCCTCTTATTAATTTTTTATTCCTTGAGTATCTGATCATTTCTTTAAGCAGGCTTAAAATGAACTGTTTTTCCTTCCTGGAATTATATAGTGGCGATGGTTACACAATAGACCTTGCGACTGTACTGAAAGCCACTGACTGTACACTTTACAATGGTGAATTTTATCTCAGTGGGAAAAAAATGTATAAAATATGAACTCATCTTTATTTTTAAACTTGGGTCATCTGCAGTATTAACATCTGTGAACTCACGTGTTGGGATGGGCTAGCTACACTTTGTTCCTTAGGCCACATTCAAATAAGTACATATTTAAAATTTTTAGTTCATCCATGGAGTCTATGTACAAATGGGCATGCAGACAATAGGAGCCTTATTATGTGCTAGGATTTCATAGGTCATCTCATTTAATCCTTCATATGACGCCGAGGCGGCGGCCACCATTACCACATTTTACAGATGAGGAGACTGAGGCTCATGGAGGGGACGTGCTGTTCCCAAGGTCAGGTGGCCTGGCTCCTAACCACTGCTCTGCACTGCCCAATGAGCATGTTCATTCTCTGAAAGAGGAAATTGGGACTGATTCAGAGAACTGATAGCAAGTTGGTGGCCTGAGGCCGCCCCAAACTGTTTCATTCGATTTAAACTTTTAAAATAACAGCTTTTGGTTTCAATAAAGCAATATTTATTTTTGTAAATAAATATAAAAATACAGCTGGATTTGGCCCACAGGCTGTAGTGCAGACTCCTGCCTGAGATCATCAATTCTCTAGTTTTTCTCTTCTAAATATTTAAAGCTGTGCATTTCTTTTTAGCACTGCTTTAGCTGCATTCTACACGTTTTCATATGTTGTTTTATGCTCAGTTCAAAATATTTTCTAGTTTGGTGATCTCTTCTTTAACTGAAGGTTGGTCACGCTGCCCACCTGCCTGTGTTACCTGCCAGCCCCAATTGCCATCTGAGTTTGAGGTCCTTTGGAAGTCAACGCTAAGCCGCTTCAGCAACTCAAAGGCCTGCCTTCCCCGGGACTGACAGTTATCAAACACTAAGAGCCTACTACGAGCCAAGCATTTTCCTGGGTACCGAGTATACAGTGGTGAATGAGGCCCCAGGGCCACCTCGAGTCCAGAACTTGGCTCCATTTCTCTCCAGCCCTTTAAACAGCCTCACCATCCATCCACCTACTGGCTCTGACTCAAAACCTGCTCTCGATCCCCATTCTCCAACCCAAATCAACAGCTCTTGCCTGCCCAGCTCCAAAGCAGATACGAAATCAATCCTCTTCTCCACCCATGGCCCCCTTCCCGCTAGTGCTCACTGGGACACCTGCTCTCCCCGCCCCCTCTGTCTCCGGAGTCACCCCTCCAATCCCTTCCTCCAGTCTCAGCCAGAGTGATCTCAAAGCTTAAATCAGGTCACTCTTCTCCTTGGCTTGAAACTGCCGCAGCTGCCCATCTCCCTAAGGATAAAACCCAAACAGCTCACCAGGACCTAGTCCCCCACCTCCTCCTGCTCACTCTGATCTGGCCATGCCATTCTCCTTGCTCTTCTTACAAGGAGCTGCTAGTTCATTTATTCATTCAACAAACACTTAAGAGAGCTACTGTGTCATATGCCTTCTTTCAGGCACTGGGCACACGGCAGGGAATGAGCTTGTGTAGCTGACATTCTAGGGAAGGGACACCATGCACAAAAGAAGCACATAAAGATAATTGTAGGGGTTAAGGTTATATGGGTTGAGAAATAAATACACAAGAGAGATGTAATGTAGGATGGCAAGGACTGTGTTTTGGATGATGTGGGAAGGCTTCATGGAGGTGGCATTTTATCAAGATCATTGCCCCATGGGTTTTTAGTAGAGGACATCAGGGCATAGGGCAGGGGGAGAGGGTTGCACTGGGAACCTCAAATGTCTTCTTCAGTCCCTAGGTTGATGGTCTCTTCTGTGATCTATGAGAAACACAGGTGCTGGGGTCAGGGGAGGGACAGTTCTCTCCCGGCCCTGCAGGAGGGGGGGGGGTGCTGCCCACATTTGGGCTGCGTCTTGCCAACATCTGTTGCAGCAAACAGTGGCACCACCCTCTCTGTCCAGTCCTAACCAAATCTTCCACAGGAATCCACGCCCCGACCCATCCTTTCTCTGGGGACATGGAGTTAGTGCCTTGCTGTGCCAGCAGTCCCAGGGGCTGGTCATCTCACCTTTCCGGCTGTGATGTGATTCAGAGCTGTGCTATCTTTAACCTTGGGCCAGGACACTCCGCTCCTCTGCCTGTAAACACTGCTCAGATAACAGTGCTGGAATCCCAAGGGGTCAACGGGCTCTGGGCAAGGCCAAGCCATCAGGGCCTGCTCCATGTCACCCCAAAGAGTCCAAGGAGGACTGGAACTCCGGGAGGCGAGAGGCATTCATCCATTAATCCACTAAGTCAACACATGGGTGCTGAGGACATGGCAGTGACCAAGAGGGACCCTCACAGGGCTCTGGAAGGTCTGAGAAAGGCACTAAGCAAGCAGATGACCAAATGAGAACTTCAGGCCCTGACTTCAGTTCTGTGGAGGCAGAAAGTGGGGTGGGAAATGACAGTGAGTGTGGGCAGGAGCTCTCATTGGTGGGGTGGCTGAGTGAGCCAGGGCCAGCCCCTTCCCCTCTGGGAGCCTGTTTGCTCAACTACCAGTGATGTGGGTCATCATCCTGGCTGTGTGTCCTTGGGCAGGCCACTTGGCCTCTCTGAGCTTGCTTCTTCACTGATAAATGGCAATTTTTATTTTATAGGAACCCCAATTTCATTTGGAGTACAGATGTTTGGGGAGGTGGGCTCCTCCTCCACCCCCTACTCCTGGGCTACTGCTTGGTCCAATTCGAGTGAACCTGAGGACTTCAGCTGGCAGAAACATGCCTTCCATTCTGCTTACTGCCATACAGGGGCCCCTGGAGGAACCAGGTCATTCCTACGAGTTTTGAGCTGCTGAAACGACGTTCATTTGAAACCTGCCCGAGCTTTGTTTTAAAATGGCTTTTACTGGAAAGTCTGAGGCCAACATCGTGATTCTCCAGTCTGAGCTTGTGAAGGGAGTATTTGGCACAGATCAGTCTCCCTCTTTGGTGAGCCTCATAAAACTTCTTAATAGCTTCCATTTTCCCCACTTGCAAAATAGGACTGACGACACCGACTTGACAGGGCTGCTGTGAGCAGTTAATGAGGTGGCCAGCACACAGTCAGCACTCAATATTGCTTTTGCTAGTATTATATCTGCAGGGAGGACATGGCTCTGAGAGCATCTGCTGAGTTGAAACCCACTCCTTCAAGGCAAGGATATTAGGTTGTCCGAAAAGTCATGATGCATTTTGGCAATGAAAAACATATAAAAAATACATCATGGCTTTTCCAACAACCGAATATGCTCACAACGTTAACTGAGTGGGTATTAGCTGCTAAGGAGTTGGTGGGTGCCCAGTGAAGCCTGGAGACAGAGAACCCTCCAGCCCAACGTGCTATTGGAGGTGAAATGTCACCATGGCATGGCCTTCCCCGCTGCCATGAGGTGAGAACATGGGGAGACCGCCCTCGGGAATAAGGGGGCTTGGGACATGCCTGGCACACAGCAGGCACTCAGGGAAAACTCAGCGACCGCCTAACGGGGCCATGCTTTTGGGTAGAGGTATGACTGTGCTAATGTGGAGAAAACCAGAATTTCAAGAGTGAGATGACAGGAGAAAAAAAGGGGTGGGGGAGGCTTGGATTTTCTTCCTAAGGCGGAGCCAGCTCCAGAAAATCCACCAAGTTCACAGACAGACCGCCTGGGCCAGAGCATTCCACCAGTTCCATCAATGGGTCTCAATGAGTTAGGGGGGCTTCCTGTTTCCTTAGGCCTTCCAGTCCTTTCAGGAGGGTCAAGCCATCCTCTTTGCCACGGCAACCCTACCGCAAAGTGGGGGCTTGAACTAAGTCAGTGGTCTTCACTTTTTTACACAGTGATACACTATTTCTGAATGAAACCTTACATAGAGCACCAGCACATAAACAGAAACTCCTCCAGTTAGAGATAGGAGTCCGAGGGCTGGTCCTTGATGTGGGCTGGCACCATGGCCTTTTACTCTTGGTGGCACCCTCTTCCCGCCTGCTCCCCTGCCTACCCCAGCAAGGAACTGTCAGGTGGTTGCCTTTGAGTGTTATCTTTTTAATGACTTAAACATCAGCGCCAGCACTCACAATTTAAACGGCCTCATTTCTTTATTCTGTGCTTTGGGACAGTATGCGCATTTCCCACCTTGATGGAAGGTAAAACCTGGTCTTGTAATTAACATCCTAACTAACACTGCAAATCCACACAAGACCGAGTTTTCTCAGAGGGCGGGACATCCGGGCACCTGCTGTGGCTTCCAAAGGCCTCCATGCAGCTGCCACTCAACAAGGCTGTGAGAGAGGCATAGTGCAAGGATGCCACTGTCCTCAATGTGACCTTTCTCCTGAGCTTCTGTCCCCTTCCGCCATTCACTGCTCTCCAAACAGGCCAAGAACAGTCTCCTTCTGCCCCAGGGTATATGCAGTACCACTGGAGAAAAATCTCCCCATAGCAGGTTCCCCAGCGCGAGTACTTTATACTCCGAGTGATGGGAAGCCAAGATTTTGTACCACCTCGGCTCCCAGCCTCCAGCGTCTCATCTAGCTGGATGAGACCACTGACTTAACACTGCACTTAGGATTTTCTCAGGAAGACCTGGACTCGGGTCCCTGAGCAGCTGTAAGAGGGGGTGGAGCCACCGGGGGAGGCTATGCCCACAACGAAACTGTACTTGTAGGTGATTCGTGGGGCTGAAGCGGCCTGCAGTTTTAAGTCAGAAACGGTGAAAACCAAACCTCAAACCAACCTTGCTAGTTTTCACTCAGTGAGGAATTCATGCCAAGCTCAGCTCTTTGGGCGTTTGGCCTGATTCTTATTTAGAAAAAACTCTCTGATGAGGCTGGGAAGACGGGAGGCCCAAGCGAAAGGCAAACGAGTGAAGTTTTAAGAAACGTACAGTCACCTGTGTTTTAGGGACCAATACTATGGTCTACTTGCTTTACATTCTTCACACAACAAAGCTCGCTCCTGACGACCTTGGCCACCTCAAGCACAACAAAACCCTTGGTGTGGGAAATTAACTTATCAAGTCTTAAAGAAAATTTCAAATTCTTTTTAGAGGAAAAAAAAATAAAATAAAATGGCGGCAAAACCTCAGGACTCCCGTGCAATGCCTATAACCTGCCCACCTACTAAATAAAAAGAACACCAAACCAGCCGAAAGCTATGCAAGTGGCAGGCTGCCCTGGGCACAGAGCCCTGCCCACCTGGCCCTGACTTTGGCAATGCAGACGGAGCAGGGTGCGACTGTGCTGGAAAAAGTGACAGGTGGTCTTGCTTCTTGAGTCTCCAACTTTCCACGTTGGGAGCCCCCAGTCCTAACACTGCATTCCGTGGCTGGGTTTATCCAGCCACGTACGAGGCAGAGAAGTATGGACCTGATTCTCAGCTTCTTCCCATTTCTAGGAGGGGAGGAAGGCAATGGCTTCAATCCCTCTGCCTCTTGGTAAAAAGGCAAAATCTTCCGAGACCTAGGCAGATGGGATGTGCGGAAGGTCGTGCATCTTCTCCCAATTATGGATGGGTGTGTGTGCTCCTGGGCAAGACAATGTCTGAGCACGTGATTCTGAAGACTTCTAGCACCAACATCTTCTAACTGCTTCCCCCACTCTCCGCAGAAGTGAAGGGCCTTGGAGGCAGGAGAGCCCTTCTCCTGTTTCGTGCCACCAGAAGCGTTCACCGAGAGAGGGCAAGGGCGCGTGTGGGCTGCACTTCTCTGGGTTTCCCCCTCTCAGAACCCTGTCAGTGCAGCTCGATGAAAGCCTCCAGCTCCTCCGGGATGAAGCCTTTGTAGGGGATCTTGTTCTTGTCCAGGGCGCGGGCTGCAAGGCACTGCAAGGTGACGTAGTTGAAGGGCTGAATGGTGCTCTTGGCAAGCAGCTTCTCATCCAGCAGCTCGTAGGCTGTTTTCTTGAAGGCGTTGGTGGCATCCATGTGGGCCCCTGCCTCGATCAGGGCATTCATGATCCCTGGGCAATTATTCTGGGCAGCTACGTGCAGAGGGGTGTTGTTGTCAAAGTCCCGGCTGTCTGGGTCAGCCCCGCAGTCCAGCAGCACCCTGACCACCTGGAGGGAGGGAAATCTGCCCACCAGGTAGCGGCCCACGTTTGTACTCTCGCTGTCCACGGCCATGTGCAGAGGGGTGAAGCCGTTCTTGCCCCGGGGAGCACACTTCAGCAGTCGGTAGACGGTCTGGTGCTTCAGATGCTCCTGCTCTGTCGTGCACTCCACCTTTTCCAACAGATAGAGCAGGTGGAGAATGATGGCCAGGGCCTTGGTGAACTGGGCCGAGTCCCCGGGCTCCTTGGGCAACTGCAGGGCCCGTTCCACTTCCCGGACCCCTTTGCAGAGCACCCCCATGAGGTCTGCAAAGCCTATTTGCGTCCCCAAACTGCCTTTGGCCGCCCGGTCCTGGAGCACGTAAGAGAAGAATTCGGCAAAGGAGAGGAAGCTGCTGGCGGTCATGGGGCTCAGAGGCTCCAGGTTGTTCTGTTGCATGTCCAGGGCATACTTCCACAGGCGGATGCAGCGCTCGAAATTGCCTGAGTCGGCGTACACCGCGCCCCTGTAACGGATATAATACGAAGTGTCTGGATGAGAGGGACCCAGGATGCGCTCTCGGATCAACAGGGCCTGCATGCGCATCTCGTCTGGATCGGTTATAAGCGCTTCCAATTCCTCGGTGGTATTCACCTCCCTGGAATAGTCATAGGCTAGGACCAGCTGAGGGGGTTCTGGTTTGGGCAGATATGCACCCCCCTGGTGACGCAGCTCCATAGCCCGTCTCCAGTGTTTCAGGGCCCCAAGCAGATCCCGCTTCTTATCCACATAGGTGGCTCCCAACAATTCCAAGGCTTCCACGGCAGCTTCACGGCTGGTGGGGCAGCAGTTTTCGTAAGGTTCACCACTGAGTGGTTCTTCTGCGGAGGAGCTGCAGCAGCGAGCCCCCTGGTGCTGCACGCATCCTGGGCTGGTGGAGAGGCCTTCTCGGGTCAGCCCTGGCCGCCCCTCCTCCTCCTCGGCAGGCTGCTCCTGGATGAGGTACTCCACGATGTTGGTGTGGCCCGTCACGCTGGCCGCCAGGAGCGGGGTCATGCCGTAGCCATCGCGTTCCATGCGGGCGTTGCACCCAAGCAGCAGCTGCAGGATCTCTAGGCTGCCGGACTCAGCGCAGTCGTGCAGGGCAGTGTTGCCCTTGGCACTGCGCCGGTTCACCTGGGCGCCCTGCTCCAGCAGATAGCGGGCGATCTCACGGTGGCCCTTGTAACAGGAGATCATGAGGCACGTATGCCCGTGCCGGTTGGCCACCTCCAGGTCAGCCTGGTGCTCGCCCACCAAGTAGCGCACCACCTCCAGATGCCCATCGAAACAGGCAGCGCGCAGGGGCGTGGAGTTGGTACGCGTGGTGCGGTTCACCGAAGCCCCGCGGCGCAGCAGGCTCTGCACCACGTCCAGGTGGCCCGCGGCCGAGGCGGCCCACAGCGGCGGCGCGCCCTCGATGGTCTCCCCATCGAAGTGCACCGAGCCGCCCGCCTCCACGCTCGCGCCGCACCGGTCCACCAGGTACTCGACCACGTCCAGGTGGCCGTAGCGGGCGGCAATGAGCAGCGGCGTCCCCCCGCCAGCCACCTCGCCCGTCAGCTCATCCAACTCTTCCCGGCTCCGGCCGCTGAGCAGCTTTTGAAGCAGCTGAAGCTTGCCGTCCCGGGCGGCGTTGTATACGACGGTGCGGAGGTCCATGGTCGGGGCCTCCACCAGGCCATGAGATGGCCGCCAGGGGACGGGGAGACGGTGGACTAGAGCCCAGAGGGGCAGACTGCAACCTTCACCGTCTCCCCAGCCGCCATCTTAGGGGCACCTCCGCTGGAACAAAATGGCTACTGAGTGGTGCCGTTAGCTAATGGGAGCAAATGTAGTCCTCTGAGCTGGCCTACTCTGTAGGATAGAGAAGGAATTGTAAGGTTTGAAGACTATATCTCCCAGAAGGCCACGGGCCATTCCCAGCGAACTTTTAGCACGGTGCATGGTGGGAATTGTTATTCCACTTGCAGCCGATAGAGGCCGAAATTATCAACAAGAGGACTATAATTCCCGTGATTCAATGCCATCGCGATAGCTTGTGGAACCCGGGGAAGTTTGGCTAAGCACTTCCTGTGGCTGTCTGAATGCCGGAGCCAACAGAAGACACAGGCGAGGGCCAAAGGACTACATTGCCCAAAAAACATTGGGAGCAACTCGGAGCCAATTAGGAGAGAGAATGAAGGCTAAACCCGCCAAGAGGTCTGATTTGGCCTAGGCATGGCGGAGCAGCTGACCGACAGGGGGCGCTCGGGAGAAGCGGGAAAGCCTGCGGGGCAAGGATGTTAGGGGTGCAGTCATTACTGGGGACTCTAAGGGTCAATTTCCTGTGCCCACTCATTTCTCATTCATTTATTTCCATTCCCTCACCCGTCAATACTGACAACTGAAGGTGGTTGCCACCAATTCAATGCCACCAGGAATCCTTGGGGTGAGGTAAAGAGGGGAGACTATTTAGTGAAAAAGCTCAATTGTGATATACGACAGCTTAGGTGTGAGACAGCTCAGTCCAGCGGCTCCAGCGAGGGGTCTCTTGCGGAGTTACAGCTCCTGCTGGAGAAACTGTCTTGGAGGGAAACTGAAAATGCACCCTGTTGAGGCTGAGGTAAAGCTGGCTTATATAGAGAAGAGTGCCTATCCCTGTCCCTGAGGTCCATGCCTATGCAAATAAGGGCTCTAACCCTCACAGTTTGATTGGTCCCTGATCATCCTCCCATGAGAGGTGAAGACTATGTCCCTTCTCCTTGAATGTGTGGGTGGACGCGTGGCTGCTTTGACCTATAGGGTAAGGCAGAAGTAAGTGGTGCTGCCATTTCTGAGGTTAGGGCATGAAAGGTCGCCAGCTTATCTCAGTCTCTCGAGATGACCACTCTGGGGAAGCCAGCCACCATGAAAGAAGTCAGGCCATCGTGTGGGTCAGACCATGTGTAGACCTTCTGGTCCACCACCCCAGCTGAGCCCAGCCTTCCAACCATCCCTCTGGGGTGTCCCGCCTGTGAATGAAGCTGTTTTGGACCTTCCAGACCAGCCATCCACCAGCTGACACCGCCCACAGATAACAGAAGAAGCACCTCCCCTCCCCCAACTGAGCCCTGCTCACATTCCTGACCTACAGAATCCATGACATATAAGAAAATGATTGTTCTAAGCCTGTATGTTTTGGAGTAGTTTGTGATACAACAATAGTAACTGGAACCGTGTTAAATGTAGCTTGTGGCTTTAATTTGCATGTCTGTAATTACTAACCAAATCACATGGTTCCCCAAGAGTTTGTTTACTATGTCTGTTTCCCACATTGGGAAAATGTGCCATGGTTTAGTTTCTAAGAAACAGTCTTAACGTGTCCTTGGAGGGAATAGATAGATCTGTGTTGGTTAGCTCAACCTGAGGTATTCATATATGACTTTGTTTCATTCATTCAGCCATATTTATTGATATTCTAGACGCCCACTATGTTTTGGGCCATGTGCTGAAAGCTGGGAATGTATCAGTGAGCAAGTACCCAGAATCTGATCTAGGGAGATAACTTAAGTCCGGGTCTATGGTCAGGGATGTGGGAGCCCAGGGGATGAATAGAGCCTTCCAGATTATTCTAGTTATCTATTTTGGCTTAACAAAGTACACACAAGTTTAGTGACTGCTATGGACGGAATTGTGTCCTCTCAAAATTCATAACCCTTAATGTGACTGTGTTTGCAGATAGTCTTTTGGAGGTGTCATGAAGCCTTGAAAGTCACTCAGTGTCACTTCAGCTCCATGCTATTTGCTGGAAGAAACTCGATAAGTCTGGCCCAGTTAAAGGGGAGATAATCAGATGCCACTCTCTCAGGGGAAGGGAGTTAGAAGTGGGAGGGCTGTCAATAAGTTTGTAGGTGTTTTAAAACCACGCACAGGAGCAGAGACCCAGGGGATGGACCACAGGGTAGGGAGGGCACATTCAGTGCTTCAGTGAATCACTCCATCCTATTAATACAAGACAGCATTTTAGGGGAATTCCCCGCCAAAGATAAGGGGACACTCCCTTCTCTTTAAAAGTCCCAACATTAATTACACAATTGGTTCTTTTTATAACATCAGTGAGAGATTCAGAGCTAAACACATCTATCAAAAGCACATTTCAACAAAGTCCTCTTGATTTTTCCCTCAAGATAAGACATTGCTGAGTAATAAACAGACATTATCCACACTACTTTCTTAGATGTGTATGGTGAAGTGTTCTTTTTTTTATTTTTATTTTTTTTAGCAGTAGTCTGAGTTGTGAAGAAATACACACATGTTTGAATTTTAGGGAAAGAGAGGAGTCTACCATGGGAGAGCTATGTGGAGGCATTTTGGTCAGTGCTTCTCCAAGTAGAGAAGACTGACATCAGTGGCATCCAGTGATATATTTTGTTTCTTTCTTGTTGAGGGCTTTAAGAGGTGACTCTTCACTAGCCTAACAGAAATGTTATTGAGGGCCGGCTGAGTGGCGCGTTGGTTAAGAGTTGGCTTGGGACGCCAGCTCTGAGCAGCAGCGTCCCGGTTCAGATCCCACATGGGCCAGTGATGCTGAGTTCTCTACAGCTAAGATGCTGAACAACAGCTTGACCGTGAGTCGCTGGGGATGGTGTAGGCTGCAGTGGGGCTGGCCAGCAGCGGGCGTGAGCTTTCGTGAGCTGCCATGAGCCGCTGTGAGCGGCTGTCCAATGGCCAGCGAGCAACAGCCTCACCCGGGAAGAGCGCAATGATAATACCAACATGGGCCAGTGAAGCGACGTCCTCCACAACTAGACTGAAGAACAAAAGGACAGCAACTTGTCTGTTCCTCTTCCCCGATTCCCCAACTCTGTTCTCCTCCACCAATTCCCCAGTAAGAAAATCTTAAAAAAATATATGTTATTGAGTAGCAGACATGCATGGGTCCCTATGACAATAAGAAAGAAAGAAACTTCTCTTAGGGTCTGTAATTTTTAAAATGGGAATAAAATTAACCATGTTAAAGTGTACAACTCAGTGCATTTAGTACATTCCCAATGTTGTACAACCACCACCTCTATCTAGTTCCAAAATTGTTTATCACACAAGAAGGAAACCCCACCCCCATTAACAAGCACCCCCAATCTATATAATATATATTTATTATATAACATATAATAAATGTGTTACATAATGTAAGTATATACTATCATACATGTTTATATTATATAATAATACACATCTATAATATAATTTATAACAAAATATAAAAATGGTTATATAATATGTATAAAATATATAAAATAATATGTAATGTATAAATATATTATAAATTAATATAACATAAAATGTAATGCATATGTATAGATACATACAATGTATATATAATATTTTCTGAACCATTTGAGGGAGTAAGCTGGAGTCTTGACAACCTTTACTCTTAAAATATTTCAGAGTTTGAGCTCTGAGCAACGGCGGTTCAAGTCCAGCCCGAGCTGAGCAGCCGCTGAGCTGCCAATAGGTAGCAGGATGGCTCAGCTAAAAAAAAATAAAAAAAATAAAAAAAATATTTCAGTGGGCATTTCCTAAGAACAAGAACATTCTCTCACAGACCCATAGTTCAATGATCAAAATTGGGAAATTTAATACTGATAAGCCCTATCACCTAATCCTCCATCCAAATTCCAATGCTTTCCATTGTTCTAATAACATCCTTTATAGCGACAATCCCAGGAAGTCAGAGACATTCGCAAGCCTCTTGTACTTTCCTTTTCTTAACAACTGGTTTATCACTGAATCTGAGCCAGGTGGGATAAAGCAAGAATGAATTTTTCTCCAATTATTGCCCCCCCCCCCGCTGTCTGTCAGCGCTCCCTTTTCTGCTCTGAGGAGCATATTCTGAAACCTGCCTGGCCACTGTCAGTTAAAAAGTCTCATCCTGGCCGGTTAGCTCAGTTGGTTAGAGTGCAGTGCTCATAACATCAAGGTTGCTGGTTCAATCCCTGCATGGGCCACTGAGCTGCGCCCTCCACAACTAGATTGAAACAACTACTTGACTTGAAGCTGATGGGTCCTGGAAAAGCACACTATCTCCCCCCAAAAAAAAAGTTTCACCAGTCCTGTTAATTTCTATCTCAGCTTTCTCTAACCCCTCGGCTGGCTGGTCTTGTTACTGGGAAAACTTGGGGTGACGTGGGGGCTCCTGGGACCCCCCTTTCTGTGCCCTGTCCCTTCTGCCTTACTTTTGCATATGTGCCTGTTTTGCTGTTTCTGTCTATCCCTCCCTCACCAGGTTGGGGTAGGGCCAAAGAGGGCTCTCAAAGCAAACCAGCCAATGATGGGGCCGACAGAGTGGCTTGTTGGTTAAGAGTTCGCTTGGAAGTGCAAGCTCTGAGCAGCAGGGCCGCCAGTTCGGATCCCACATGGGCCAGTGACGCTGCGCCCTCGATAGCTAAGATGGTGAAAAACAGCTCAACTTGGAGCTGGGCTTCTGTGAGTTGCCGGCAACAGCGTAGGCTGCAGTGGGGCTGCAGTGGGCTGCCATGAGCTACCATGAGTGGCCGGCAGCCAGCGTGAGCAGCAACAGCTGGCGTGAGCTGCCGTGGGCTGCCATGAGTGGCAGTCCAAGGGCCGGTGACCGATCTGCCTTAGCCGGAAAGAGCACAATGATCACAACACCAACATGGGCCAGTGAAGCGACGTCTTCCACAACTAGACTGAAGAACAAAAGGACAGTAACTTGTCTGTTCCCCTTCCCTGATTCCCCAATGCTGTTTCCTTTCCCGATTCCCCAATAAAATCTTTTTTTAAAAAACCAGCCAATGAGAGCGCTGACTTCTCTTGTCTGGGCTGGGCACAGGCTGGGCTTCTTGGATCCAGAAAGGCAGGGATGGAAGAGAACAGATTCCAGAGCCTGATGTGGGTTGGGGGAGGCTATCTCCTTATGATGCCGCCTGCCTGTTGTCATGGAAACCCAAGCCACTCTCTTTTGAAGGACCCATTAAGGTGCAGAATATAATCAACACTCTGGCTCTCTCTGAGAGACTCCCACCCTCCCTGGTGGGAGGTGACTGCCACTGAAGCCGCAAGGAACAGCAATCCCTGGACGATGCTGTGTCTGAGTTCTGCCCTCACCGTCCCTCTTCAGCCCTGGCTGGAGATGACTTTCTGTGTGACTCCAAGTCTCCACTCCTGTCTGCATCTTGGCTTCCACTTCCTCTGTAGAAATAATAGAGGGACATGTCACAATTGCCACATTGTGTGTACCAAACTATGAGAAGGGTGTAAGGTAGTGGTTCAAAACGCAGACGCTAGATGCAAACTGCACACATTGAAACCCTGGCTCTGCCACCTGCTTTCTGACAAACTTGAGCAACTTGCTTTACCTCCCTGAGCCTTGGTTTCCTCTCCTATAAAATGAGGTATAATAATGGTACCTACCTCACAGGAGGTAATATTTCTAAAGCTATTAAAACAGTGTCTGGAAAAGAAAACGAACTAGTTTATTCACCCAATGGAATATTACTCAGCCATAAAAAAGGAATGAAGCACTGACACAAACACCACAACATGGATGAACTTTGAAGACATGATGCTCAGTGAAGGGACCAGACACAACATGCCACACAGTGAGTGATTCCATTTATATGAAATGTCCAGAACAGGCACATCCACAGAGACAGAATACACAGGGGCTACAGGGAGAGAGGGATGGGGAGTGACTGCTTAATAGGAACATTCTTCTTGGGATGATGGAATGTTCTGGAAGTAGTGGGGACGGTTGCAGAACTTTGTTAGTGTACTAAGTGGAACTGAATTGATTAAAATGCAAATTTTATGTGCTGTGTATTTTATAAGATTTAAAAAATTTTTGATGGCGGGACACCACACAATGACACTCGTGTGGAAGAAAGGCAGAACCCTTTGTTACTTGGAGCGCCAAACAAGAGGCTTGCACAAGGGACAGGGTGACAGTAAGTGGAAGCTATAGGGAACAGTTTATGTCTGACAAGTGGGGGTGGTTAGCTAGGTTTGAATAATTTCCTAAGCTTAAAACAATAGGATTGTCCCCAGTTGCCTGGTTCCTGACCCTGGGGCCATCAAAGCAGACTTTGAGTTTGAGAGCTGGTAAGGAAAGTCGTCCAGATGTGAACTTATTCAATTGCTCTAGAGGAGCTGATCAGCCTCTGAAATGGGTCCCTCCCTCCCTCTCTTCCTTCCTTCCTTCCTTCCTTCTTTGGAAATAGATATTAATTTCTCATCTGTGTAAATCTAGGTATGGGATTGCTGAGTCAAAGGGAAGAAAATAAACTTCCCTTTTGTTTAAGCCACTGTTATTCAAGTCTATTAGAGTAACTGGACTACATTCCTTATATTGGCATTCCCAGCTTCTGTGCCTCACTCTCTGGTCCCTTTGCTCTTGCTTTCTGGAATCACCTTCCAAATAAACCACACACTTGGGTCCTTGTCTCAGACTCCACTTGTGTGGAATTCCAAATTAAGATAACTGGACACTGACCAAATGTAATAACATAGCTCAGTGAGTTGTACCTTCAATTCAGGTGTCCACAGCACCACTGTGGGTGATGGCTCATCTTTATAGGTGTGGCCCTCCATGTTTCCATGTCTAACAACAGGGCTCAGATACCAGCATTTACATCTCAACTAGTTACTTATTGGGTGCTAGCACTCAGCCAGGCATGGAGGTGGGGCACAGAGATATACAGATGAAACTAGTGAAATTAACTGAGGTACCCTCTCCCAGATGTGTTTGGGAGAAATGAGAGGTTGGTTGGGTATTGTTTTTATTTTAAATTTTTTTATTGGGGAATTGGGAAAGGGGAACAGCCAAGTTGTTGTCCTAAAATCTTAGTTGTGGAGAGTTGTAGCTCAGCTCCAAGTCCAGTTGCCATCAGGCCGCCCATTGGCAGCTCACGGCCGCTCAGCTCAAGGTGCCATGTTCAATCTTAGTTGCAGGTGGGCGTAGACCACCATCCCATGTGGGAATCGAACCAGAAACCTTGTTGCCAAGAGCGCACGCTCTAACCACTGAGCCATCCTGCCACCTGTGGCAGCTCAGCTCGGGTGCAGCTCGCTGGCCCATGTGGGACTCAACCCGGTGACCCTGTTACTCAAAGCTCATGCTCTTAGCCAACTGAGCCACTCGGCCAGCCCTGGTTGGATTTTTTTAATCATTTTTTTTTAATCAAAGGAAAGAGTCTCCTAAATAAGAATCAGTGGGGAAGCTGGTTAAAAATGCAGATTCTGGAGCCTGCCCCACCTCTGGCTTATTGAAACTGGGAATGTCCTAGGGATGCATTCTCTATGAATTTCCCAAGGGTATCCAAGCAAGAGATGGTCCTGGGCAGCTGGGTGGCTCAGTTGGTTAGAGCACATGCTCTTAATAACAAGGCTGCTGGTTCAACTTCTACATGGGATGGTGGGCCGCAACTAGATAAAAAATGGCAACTGGACTTGGAGCTGATGGGTCCTGGGAAAAACATACTGTTCCCCAATAAAGTTAAAAGAGAGAGAGAGAGAGAGAGAGAGAGAGAGAGAGAGAGAGAGAGAGAGAGTCCTGGGTGGGCTAGTTGTTGAGTGTAGCTGGTGGGAAAATGATAGGCAATTACTCTCAACAGGGAGGGGCCAGATCATGCAGGCTGTGTGAGGACATTTGAATTTTATCCTGCAGGCAATGGGAGTCATGGAAGGGTTAAAGGTAAATGGGATTTGTGTTCTAGAAAGACCCCTCACTGTACATGGAGAATGAATTGGCTATGTGTGTGTGTTTGGGGGGTGGGGGTGGAGGAACGAGACCATGAGATGACCAGGCAGTGATGGAGGCAGAGGGATGGAGAAGAGGGTGGATTTGCCCAGAAGGACTTGCATTGGTGAATACAGGGGTGGATGAGGAGGGGAGGGACTCTGCGATGTGAAGAGGCTGCCACATTGGTGGGGACATGGAGGGAGGGGCGAACTGGGAGTTGGGTGGATTGGGTGTTCAGTTTCAAATGATTAATTTGGAGTGATTATGAGGCACCCAGGGGAAAACATTCATAGAAATACCAGGGCAGAATCTCCTTCCATAGAGCTCCCTAAAGGGCAGCGTCTGGAAGCCATTTTTTTCTTTTTTCTTTTTTTAATCTGAAAGCTCTTCCACTCCCAAAGGATGATTCTAAATATACAACAAAATCTCTCACAATTAGCCTTAACCCAGACATTGAACCCCTCTCCCCACCCCATTCTCAAAGTGCCTCTGGCATGTAGGTGTCTTGTAATTGTATTTTTTCTGTTTATTAATGGACCCACTGAGGCAGTACTCCCGGGAGAAAGAAAGATTTCATTAGTCTGGGGCTGAGAATGGAGACAGGAAAGATTTCATTGGTCTGGGGCTGAGAAGGGAGACAGGGTTGCCAGAACTAATGAGGAATCAATGCCTCGTAATTGCTAATTAGAGCCTGGCTATCTCCTGGGGCTATTAGTAAGCTGGCTGACCCTTGAGTGTCCACAAATTATACTACCCAATAAACACCTGAAGCAACCATCACCCTATGATATCTCCATGGGGGAGACTGAGAAGAAGCATGATCTTCATGCATGTGTTGAAACCATCAATTCATTTATTGATTAATGCATTGGTTTATTCTTGGATGCCTTTATTGATTCAACAAATGTTTATTGAGCACCTGCTGTGTGCCAGTCCCTGGATTGGGTGCTGGGGATACAGCAGTGAAAATACACAGTCTCTGCCCTCATGGAGCTCACAGTGTAACTGGAGGTGGCAGACAGTCCTGTAAACAGTTAACACAATTGGAGTAAGCACCAGAGAGATGATATCCCAGGTCTATGAGAGTATATAATAGACTTGACATGAGGGGTGGTGAGGGAACAAGGAAAGTTCCCCTTGATGAAATGAGGCTTGCATAAGAAAGCAGAGGGAGCTGTAGGATGCTATGGGAGGCAGAGCATTCCAAGCTGAGGGAACAGCAAAGGCAGAGGTTCTGAGGCTGGAATGACCTCGATGTGGTGTCTGTGACTTGATTAGGATGTCTCAGAGAACTAGGGGTGAGCCTCAATGATGCCACAATTCACATACCAGACACAAGTTTACACTTGTCCTGTAGTTGGTCTAGGAAACTGATGGGGGGGTGGGGAAGCAAAAATCATTCCTGGAATTTTTATTGAAAAGTCTTCATAGAATCCTGTTCTAAGGAGGGCTTCAAATGCCATCCCCTCATTGAATCCCCAGAAAAGTGTGGTGAGGTGGTTAAGGCCCTGGGGGTTCAGAGTCAGATATTTTGTATTTCCAGGACTGTGGTAGTATACAAGTGACATGGCCAACACCATGTGTGGCACATCACTGGCATGTTCACGGGGTGCATGCCCCTGTTTAATTCCTTGGAATTAGCCCATGGAATTAGCCAGCTCACTCCCTGGGTGTAAGTGATTTCTCCCTGATCCTCCATCCCCCACACTTGCTTGTCCATCTTGGGCAGAGGTCGATGGGAGTCCACGCTATGAGGAAGCTGTGACTTGTTGTCATCATACATCAGAACAACAAAATCACTAGTCTTCCACACAGCACTGGACCACAACTTCTCCAGTCTTCGCCACCCTTTGCCCTATGTCTAAGACCCACTCCTGCTCACCGCTCTTTCCCAAGTTGTAACATCTGGGCTTCTTGCTTTTCCACTGCCTCTTGTCTTCCATACCTGGTCCCCCTGCAGAGAGGCAGGGTCTGATCTCCAAGGGCCCAACTCTCACCCATGAAACATGGAATTTGGAGTTGGAAGGATGTGGGGTTGATTTGCAGGTTCACCCTTGGTCTGAGATCCCTTGGGCCCCTCTCTGGGTCTCAGTTTCCTCAACTGTCACCTAAGGTTGAAGATGGCATGACATAATGTATGTAAAACTCTTGGCACAATGCTTCTCACATGAGTCTAGAAAGAGCACAATGTCATCTTGGCAAGCACCCATTTGCCCCTAGTCCTACCGATTGGCCATCTCACCTGTTGGGAATTACAGATTTCTGTGTGTGGTTTCATGTTATCTGCTCATGTGGAAAATAATGCGTTGAAAAATCCATTAAACGAGGGACAAATCTCCAGAAGTGTCGGACACCTCAGACCATCCTCTGTTCCCTCATCAGCGTACAGGAGCTCCCCGTTACCTGGGAGCTGTCGGGCATCCTGGTGCTGAAATGAAATCGGCCCGGGGAACCCGCTAGGAGCTGTCCTCAGCCTTGGTGCTGAAGCGGTTCCCTTTCTGGATCCCGAGAGGCGCTGTCCGGAGTCTCAGTGCTGAAGAAAACTTGACTTGCTTCCCTCTCTTCCCCGGCACACCCCACTCCCCTCCGTTCTCTGTTCCTCTGACTCTTGGGAACCCTCCTCCCCCAAATTTCTTATCCCTCCGGTCCCCTTCCCGGGGCCCTTCAGAATGGCAAGGAGGGAGACATGGAAAGGTCGCAACTAGGACTTATACCTGCTCCCCACCCCGTGGCATGTTCCCAGAATTTACCGCCCAGGTAGTCAGCCTGGTTGGTCTCCGCTTTCCAGACCGTCAAACTTCACCGTCTTTGCCGCTTTCTGGGAAGATGTCCATGAGCTGACCTGTAAACCATCCCCATCCCCAGGTACGGAGTACCCCCAGACCACCCCTCCCCCAAAGCAGCTGAAGCCCTTCTCCTGTGTGCCTCACCTGCTTCCAGTTTTGTGGGCTGATGCAGGTGTCCAGTGGCTGCCGATGCCGGGACGTGAGCTTTTATGGGCTCCCGGGAAGGTGGGGCACCGGGATCCCGGGGAGGAGCTTTGCCAGCCGACCAATGGGACTCCGCCTCGAATACAGCCCCAAAGATTACCTCATAGGTTGTGGCCTCGACTTCAGAATAAAAGTCTGGCATCGGCCCAAAAACTGAGTAGCGTTTTTTCTGGAGGGGGAGAGGAAAGGCACTCATGGAGGTCCCCAGGATCTCCTCACTTGGCCCAACGCCCTCCTGGGTCTTTGAGCTCCCTTTTTGCTCAGGAGCTCTTGCTGGTACCTGCTTCTCCCCATCTCCAGTTTGTGCTATTGCTGGAGAGAGAAAGCTGATAAACTGTGTTGGAGGGAATACAGGGCAGGTTCAGAATATTTAAGTCCAGTTCCAGATCCAGAAACTGAGGTCTGTGGGCATGTAGGACTCAGAGGAGCCTGGAGCAGAGATGGGATTCAAGCCTAGATATTCTGATTCCTTGACTCAAAACCCAACTCATAACTTGGTTTATAGTTTTGTTTTACTGAGCAGTCTCTGATCCAAAAAACACACAAACTTGGGTTCAAATCCAGATTTTTTTCCTCCTTGCTGTGGGACTTTGGGCACAGTCAAACCTCCCTGTGCTTCAGTTTCCTCAGCTGTAAAATGGTGATAATGGTAGTACTGTCTCAGAGCATTGTGATGAGAAATTAAAGACATGGTGTGGATTGCATGTTGGAAATAAATAATCAGGGCCAGGACTAAGGTGAGGAAGGCACCTGCCTCAGGTGCAAAATTTAAGGGGGCACCAAAAAACTCAGTAATCAAAATAAATAATATTTCAATGCAATGTTTTAAGAAATCTAAATCAATGCAAAAAAATCCACGATGAGCAAAACATTTTAAATAAAGACAGAATCTGCATTACTGATTTTTCCTTTTGCCTCAGCTTGGCATGACATTAGAAATAATACCTGGACATGATAAGTTTTCCAATAATGTAGCTATTGTTTTTTTTTTGAGACATTCCATCCATATACTTACTCAAAAATTTTTATTGTATTAGGCACTTGGGGCTCATACATGAATTCAGCAACCAAGCTTCCTTTAGAGAGGGTGAAGACATGAAAAAGTAACTCTATTCAAACATTGTATGACGATAGAGGGATCTGTATCTTAGCTTGTGCTCTTTCCACTGTGACAGTCCCCTAAAAGGGTGGATTATTTTGTGGAATTTGAGCTCAAAAATGAGCTCCCTGCTGATCACCCTTGGATCGAGGAATGTCAAATAAGGCACCTAACGTGTCAGTAGAGATGCCCAAACCAAGGGTTAACTTCATCAATGCACCTGGGCAAAGTTTAGTGAAACCCATAGCGAGTGAGTACAGAAGCTATATGGAATTCTGACACATAGTAGGTACTCAACAAATTCACTGTCAAGTGCATGACTTGAGTGAGCTCATCTGAAACACACTAACTCCTCCATCTGCCTCCCACTCAGAGGCTAGTTCTGGCTTTCCAATTCCAAAGGAGGAGCAGGGAACTTGCTACAAAAGGAAGAAGAAGAAATGGGGATATAGCCTGGAAATGGATGCTTTGTTTGTTTGTTCCTCTCCTTTTCTTTTACCTTTTTTATTTTGAAAAAAAAATAAAAGAAATTCAAACCCACAGGAAAATTTCAAGATTAGTGCAATGAACTTCATATCATCTTTACCTAGATTCACCCACCCATTGTTAACATTTTGCTACATTCACTATTTCTTTGTCTTTTTCTCTACATTTGTCTATCTCTGTCCCAATCATATAAGTGGCAGACACAACTGCCCCTTCATTCCTGAATACTTCAGCATGCATCCCCCAAGATCAAAAACTGTTTCCTACGTAACCATGATGTGATCATTACAACCACGAAGCTAAAACTGTGACATTACTGTCTAATCCCTAGTCCACCCTCCAGTTTCACTAGTTGCCCAATACTGTCCTTTATGGCATTTCTTCCCAAGTTGGGACCAAATTCAGGATCGTGCAGTGCATTCATTGTCCTGTGTTTCCAATCTCTTTTGCAGAGATGTGGGCTTTGTAGTAGCAAGATAACTTTAGACTCCCAGGATTCTCCTCCCAACCCAGAGATCTGGCTCGCTCACTGTCTTTAATGTAGGTGTGCTCTACATACAGTGCCTGACCCGCACTTAAAAAAAAAATTTTATTGGAACACACCCATGTTTTTCTTTCTTCTGTTTTTTTTTAAGATTTTATTGGGGAATTGGGGGGAGGGGAGCAGCATTGGGGAATCGGGAAAGGGGAACAGACAAGTTGCTGTCCTTTGGTTCTTCAGTCTAGTTGTGGAGGACGTCGCTTCACTGGCTCATGTTGGTGTTGTGATCATTGCGCTCTTCCCGGCTGAGGCTGTCCCTCGCCAGCCATTGGATGGCCGCTCACAGCAGCTCACGGTAGCTCACGCCAGCTGCCTGGCCCCCTTTTTTATACAAGAGCTTGTTTAGAGGATCCCTCCAACATTCTAGAAAGACATGGCCAGATATGCACACCCCAAGCCTGCTTTTATGTATTCATTCACTCCACAACAAAAATATTTTTGAATGCTTTCTATGTGCTAGGAACTGGGTATATAGCAGGGATTGAAAGCTGATCTGATTTTTGTCCTCCATTTAGTGCAGAAGACAGGCAATAATCAAGTAATTAAAGGAACAAGGTAATCTCACACAGTGATGACAGCTATGAAGAAAACAGATTGGGAGATGTGATAGAGCAGGAGTCTGCAAACTTTTTCTGTAAAGGGCCAGAAAGTAAATATTTTCTGCTTCGTAGGCTAGCTGGTTTCTCTCCTGGCTACACAACTCTGCTGTTGTAGCTCAAAGACAGCCTTGGAGAATATATAAATGAATGGGTGTGACCATGTGCCAATAAAACTTTATTTATAAAAACAGCAGCAGTTCATTTGGCCCAAGGGCCATACTTTTCTGGACCCTACAGTAGAATGTGACTGGCTGGTGAAAGGCACATGGCTTTGGCTGGGTGGATGGAGAAGGTCTCTCTGAGGTGAGGCCTTTTGAGCTGAGACCTGAAAAGTGAGAAGAAGACGGTCATGGGGGGAAATTCAAAGATCAAATGTCAGGTTGAACAGTTAGTTCCTTGGGTTACTGTTTATAGGAACAGTTAGTTCTTAGAATGTGTGTGTGTGTGTGTGTGTGTGTGTGAGAGAGAGAGAGAGAGAGAGAGAGAGAGAGAGNGAGAGAGAGAGAGAGAGAGAGAGAGAGAGAGAGAGAGAGAGAGAAAGAGGGAGATGGCTAAGGATCTGGTCATTCAGGCCTTTTCTTTCTCTCTCTCTCTTCGAGCTTTTACTTTATGCTGGGCTCCATGCCAAGTACTCTGCATGCCAAGTATTCCTAAGACCTCAGGGCAACCCCATAAGATAGCTATCATTGTTGTCCCCATTTTGCAGATGAGGAAACTGAGGCTCAAAGAGGCTAAGGAACTAGTCCACGGCTACCTGAAGAGTGAGCAGCAGAGCTAGGATTTAATCAACTCTGTCTCTTGGCTCCAAAGCTCATGCTCCTCCCCACTACCCCCCCAACATTGCCTTCATTTGTGGTGCCCTTCGTACCTTCAGGAGAGCAGAGGACACCTTGACACCAAGGATTCTGAGATTTTCCTGTCAGTTCTTCTAAGCTAAAGAGCAGATGTGAATTGCCCGTTTTACAGATGTGGCAGAAGCAAGCCACTTCCCCACAGACCACAGTGATCAGGGACTGCAGCTGAGATAAGAACCCCCATCTGCTGCCTCTAAGATCGAAATTCTTGTCAATTGTCCATTCCTTTCCCTGCCCCTTTCCAGAAGTCCTAATGCATATATAAGCTTATACATCATTCTCTCCACACACAATCTTTTTTTTTCACCTTTTTAGGAATTCAATTTTAAAGCCAGGTATATTGAGGTTAATTTATATACAGTAACATTCATATTTTTAGGTATACAGTTCTATAAATTTTAGGTGTGCCATTTTATAAATTTTGAGAAATGCACGGTTATGTATCCTATGCCATAATCAAGATACAGAATAATTCCCTCACTGCAAAAATTTCCCTCATGCCCCTGCATAGTCTCTCTCCTCTCCCACCCCTCATCCCTGAAAACTGCTGATCTGATCTCCATCATTATAGTTTGGCCTTTTCCAGAATGTCATTTAAATGGAATCATACAATGTACAGCCTTTTGTGTCTGGCTCATTTCAGTCTTCATAATGCATTGGAGATTCATCCATGCTGTTGTGTGTATCAGGAATGAGATTCTCCTTATTACTGGGTAGCATTCCCTTATGTGGGTGGAGTACAGTTTGTTTAGCCATTCACCAGTGCAGGGCACATTGGGTTCAGGGACATCTCTAGGTTTGGGGGGTTCTGAATAAAGCTGCTGGAAACATTCACTTATTTGTGTGGACAATATGTTTTCATTTCTCTTGGGTAAATACCTAGAAGTGGGATGCCTGGGCCATATGGTAAGGGTATGTTTGACTTTTAAGAACTGCTAAACTCTTTTTCCAAAGTGGCTGTACCATTTTGCATCCCTGTGAACAGTGGATGAGAGTTCCCGTTGCTCCATATCTTCATCAGCACTTGGCATTTTCAGCTTCTTTTTTCAGCCACCTAATAAGTGTGCAGTGTCTTCTCCCCCTTTTAAAACATAAGATAGCATTCCATACACACCTTGCAAAACATGTTCTTTTTCGCTTAACAGTACATGTAAGGGAATATAGTCTTCAACAAAAAAATCTAGTTGAACATACACTCTCAGGCTCTTACAGCTCAGAGTGAGCAAAGCTGTAATGGAAGACACTCAGGGCACTGTGGGAACCCAG